TTCAGGTTTTGACAATATTAAGCTTTTCTCACTCCTTGTCTTACATTTATCATTGTTTAGAAAGACTACAACATCAATTTAGAATCCCAGACAAGGCCATGAGTCTTACAGAGCAATCTTAAACGTTTTAAGGAGTAGAAAGCAAGCAAGAGATGCAAGTGATGCCCATATCACAGAATCACAAAATCTTAGGGCTTGGAAAGGACCTCGAAAGATCATCTAGTTCAACCCCCCCTGCCAGAGCAGGGTCACCTAGAGCACATCACACAGGAACGCATCCAGGCAGGTTTTGAATGTCTCCAGTGAAGGAGACTCCACAGCGTCTCTGGGCAGCCTGTTCCAGTGCTCTGTCACTCTCACAGTAAAGAAGTTTTTTCTGATGTTTACATGGAACCTCCTATGCTCCGGTTTGCACCCGGTACCCCTAGTCCTATCTCTAGACATCACTGAAAAAAGCCTGCCTCCGTCCTCCTCACATATTTACAAACATTCATGAGGTCGCCCCTCAGTCTCCTCGTCTCCAAGCTAAAGAGACCCAGCTCCCTCATAAGGGAGATGTTCCACTCCCTTAATCATCTTTGTAGCTCTGCGCTGGACTCTTTCAAGCAGTTCCCTGTCCTTCTTGAACTGAGAGGCCCAGAACTGGACACAATATTCCAGATGTGGCCTCACCAAGGCAGAATAGAAGGGGAGGAGAACCTCCCTTGGTCTACTAACCACACCTTTTCTAATGCACCCCAGGATGCCATTGGCCTTCTTGGCTACAAGGGCACATTGCTGGCTCATGGTCATCCTCCTGTCCACCAGGACCCCCAGGTCCCTTTCTCCTACACTGTTCTGCAGCAGGTCAGCCCCCAAACTGTACTGGTACATGAGGTTGTTCTTCCACAGATGCAGATATGGTATCCTCTTTTATTTTCTTTGTGGTAGTTAAGGATCTTAAAAGGAACAAATATTTGCTAATGATATCAGAAGAGCATGGAAAAATATTAATAATAATAGGGAATTATATTTTTGAAACCAACCTGTGAGTCAGCAAGTATTTTACATTCATATTATTAAAGGTAAACATAAAATGAAAAGCATTAAATACAATTAGGAACACAGATTATAATTAAAATACTGTCCATCAATATTCTCCTGTTTGATTTTGAGTGTTAATATTGTTCAAAGTTCATATCAATAGTAGCTAGCAAAACAAATAATAATCTACTATACAGTCAGTCTCTCAAGTCTACTTAACTTACTTAAGTAAAACTGTTCAAGTTAATACAATTCAAATTATTTCCAGGCATATTTTGCAAATCCTATTAAAAGTATATGTTTTCCAAATCTCAGCTAAAGCAATTTTTCTATCTTTCAATAACTGTTATGTAAGTTACTTAAACAAATATCCAAAGTTACACAAGTTGTCTACAGTATCATCTCATTCAGTCGCAGCAAAATTACCACCTTACTCTCAGCCTAAATTCAAAACTGTTTTTTAGCTTTTTGGTTCTGGTAGATTTTCTCTCATTTTGCTGTTGTCTCTTAGAAACATTAGAAACTTTACTTTTCTAGACTGAAATTAATTTTTAATTCTTAAAACAGAAAAAATATTGTATTGAAATTCAAAATAACTGTGGCTGAGTTTGGGAGCTAATAATCTGAAAAGCTACTAGTTACCTGAAATATTTTGTGACTAATTATTTCCTGTGTGCCCATGCTCTTTCTGAGCAGAGTAATCAAGATTACTTTGATGTCTGGGCAAAAAAAATGTCACTATGTGTCACTAGTCAACCTTCTGGTGCTTCAGAAATAAAGGTTTTGCAGAACAATCTTGTCAGAAACAATTTCCACTTCAAAGTACATTATATACTTTGTCAAATGCACCTGGAAGTCTCCAAAGTTAAGTGTAACTTTGGAAGAAAATTCTGAACACTGCTTGAATAGAACACAATTTCTGATATTGCCAAACGTATTTCCTAGTCATCACAAAAACATCTTTTTTATTATCCACTACATGTTTGGAATAAAATGCTCATTTGTCTGAAGGAGTCAGCACTGGAAAAGAGAAGTAAAGAAGGTACAATTGTAACTCCAAGTCAACAAGTAAAATTTAGCAAGATTTTAGTTAGTGATTGCCTTATTTCTTTCATGTTAATGGCATGCGCTATGAAAGTAGCTTTGTTTGTATTTTGCACTGGTGACAACAATTCTCATGCAGGAAAAATTCTGTGGATGTTTGCCAGCATACACTAGAATTGTAAAATGATAATGTATTATTTTACATAAAAGCAGTGTTTCTTATTTCTCAGGCAGTGTACACAAAGTTCTGTTATCCATTAAATGAAACAAGAAAAAGAATACCACAGATCAGAGAGAGATGGGATTAGTGTCAGAACACAACATGGTTGAGCATTGGCTTCTATTTTGGTGTGATTGACTTAGTGTCTGACAGCAGAAGTAACAGATGGGAAAAACAAGTGGGTCAGAAAAATGTCAGCAGAAAAAACAACACTACAAAAAAACAACAACATCATTAATAGAATATGAGTAGCAATCAGATTTGTGTTATAGCAATAAATTAAATTAAAATTATTATGCATTTATAATATAATAAAAGATACAGAACAGTGCTTGTTATTAATGTCTTGATTCTGCTGAAGTCAAAAGGCATTTGACTTCAATTCAGCTGTAATATTCTCCTCTTATAAAAATACAGGCTTAAATAAATACTGGATAAAAATTCAATACTGAAATACTGCTATCAGTGGAAGTTATGAAGCACACCAGAGTCTCTTAAGTTTCATTTGGTAGGAATGTTTAACATGGGCTGTAATAGCCTTCTTAATTAAGAGCATTTTTCAGAACATCAGTTCTGAAAGTTGCAGAACCTTTAAGGAACCACAGAAAATATTTTTGTCCTTTTACTGTGTAATGCACTGTCCTGAGAACCTGGGGATAATTTACCTGTTTCACAAGAACACATGCAGAGCACAATGCATTTAGATTCTGCAAGTGAAGGGCAGGTACTCATTGACAATGCAGGAATGTTTATATTGAAACACCAAATTTATATTGTTTCACCCAAACCAACCAGTATTTGAAGCAGAAAAACTTTTCTCATCATCTACCAATGAAATAAAAAAAAAAACCTTTATGAAAGTTCACAATGACATGGAAAAAGAACACATGAAACAAATGAGAAATACAAAACATATTAGAAGAGACAGCCAAGAAAACCTAACCACAGAACAACCCCCCAAAAAACTTTAAACAATCAAGCATATCTTTATACATATGAAAGTAGAATAATTTTTCCAAGGCTACCTTATGTGTGAGTAGTCCATTTCAGACCACTGAAATCTTCCAAGTTGAATTGTCAGCTTAGGCAGAGACATGCACAGTATGCAGGAAGTTTAGTAGATTAAAATTTTCCTCAAGAGAAGTTACGGATGTAATCACAATAAATTATTTGCAGCTGAGCACCAATTTCACTGTCTGTTTGGTGGTAATGGATATTTCCTTTCAAGTAGAGCATTATGCTTTGTCTGTGGTTATTTTATAAGCCTTTGAAAATTGTTTCTGTGGTTAGTTAACTAACAATTAATTAATTTGATGGGCACTCCCAACTAGCTCATTATCTTGTTCCTGCTTTTACTTGCTCCTGACATATACACCATAATGACCATTCACCTGACAACTTGGCAGGGTGGTAGTGGGGAGTTTTCAACAGAAATAAATAATAGTAACCTAAAAGAATGGCCAGTTTCAGTATTCTTTGAAGGTAGAAGCTAAAAGATTGTTTCATTTTTTTGTTCATTTTATCATGCACATTCTTCAAATGAAGAACAGTAGGTCCTTCAGAGGATGTAGATTATCATATAATCATAGAGCCACAGAAAGGTTTGGAAGGGACCCTAAAGATCATCTAGTTCCAACCCACCTGCCATGGGCAGGGACACCTCCAGGTTGCTCCAAGACCCATCCAACATGGCCTTCAACACCTCCAGGGATCAGGCTTCCACAACTTCCCTGAGCAACATTTTCCAGTGTCTCACCAACCTCACACTGAATAATTTCTTTTTAATGTCTAATGTAAATCTACCCTCTTTCAGCTTAAAACCATTAGCTCTTGTCTGCGTGTAGCTTATCACTACACGCCCTTGTAACGAGTCCTTCCCCAGCTTTCCTGTAGCCTCCTTCAGGTACTGGAAAGCAGCTGTGAGATCTCCTTGAAGCCTTCTCTTCTCCAGACTGAACAAACCCAGACCCCTCAGCCTGTCCTTATAGGAGAAGTGCTCCAGTCATGAACATCATAATTGTCTTGACACAGCTCCAAACAACCATCAGGTTGATTTTGTCTTTAGATGCCCATGTATAGCCTTAGTGTGAGGTAAAGCAAGGAAACTGAGGTGAATTACTAGTGTGATACATGAATAACTGAATTAAAAACAGCTAACTCAGATAATAGTATTAAGCATTGTTTCCTAAGGCAATGAAAAGATGCAGGTTACTTTGTCACTTAATTCCCCCCTCTCTTTGTAACCTTTGACTGATTTCTTACCTTTGTTTTTCTTTTTCGACTACCTCGTAGCCCTAGCTCTGTATGCACCTACAATATCAAGACAACAATCTTTGTGTCTTTGGCAATTTTGCTTTTCAGTGCTTGTTTAGCAAATTTTTAAATAAGAGATCTGTGTATTCTGTTTCTTAACAGACTATGTTAGAAAGAAGCATTAAGTCCACAATTTGGGTTTCTGAACTCTTCTATTGGGATACAAAGCTGGTTTTTTTAACCTGGATATTCTATTTCAAGTAGTGCTTTAGCCACTTTCACAGAGTAAGGTGCATTTACCTTCTACATTTCATCCCCCTTTCCTGGGTATTTTTTTGTAATTCCAAATACTAAATTACTCAGAAAACAATTTCTCTGGATTTTTTTTTTTTCCAACAATGGATATTAGCTTTGTAATAATTACAAGAATCTTCACATTCTGAAAATAATTAGCACTTACCTTTATTTCTTGAGCTTTCCTGATTCTTTTCCTGCTGCAATTAAAAGTAGAAAAAATATATTACTTACAAAATTAATTACATAGACATACAGATCCAAAAGAGATTTAGTCGATTTCATCAGTCGATTTCATCTTCCTTTCTGCTCCAGTATAAAATCAGCTACGCTCTGCTGGCAGCAGAAAGACTGCTATGTAAACTTGCTCTAAACTCCTCTAGTATTTTTCACATTAGGTGATGGTTTTTTGCACAGTAACAGTAATTAAGTGCTGAAACGCACTGTCTAGAAAGGCTGTGCAGTTTCTGTCACTTTACCTCTGACTTTGGAGATACTCATAATTGAACTAAATGAGATCCCCTGTGCAACCTGATGTAATTTTGAAGTTAGATCCACTGTGAGTGACTAGTTCAATAGGTGGCCTTGGAGCACTACTTAACTGTCCTCAGTTTCATCCTAAATGAAACTTTGCCAAAATCCCCTCAACTACTATTTATTTTTTAAATTTTTCCTGATTTGCTTGCATCACATTGAACACAGAAAACATTTCAACTTTAAAGCAAAACAATCTTCTTTTGTTTCAACTATCTTCCAGTCTTCTGACTCTATTTTTTAAACAATTTTTAACATGTGTTGCCTAAAGTATTCTAATATTCCAATTCAGAATTGTCTAGAACTAAGGACTTTTAAAATATGCTAGCTCTGTAACTGAATCAGCAACACATAACATATATTGACATTTTTCAAAATAACATTTCCTATTCAAAAAAACAGTATGACACAGCTGATTCACAGTCAACATGTTTTTGACTATGAGTCCCTTAGTTATTCACTCTAACCCACCAATCTCTTCTTGTAGCACTTTTGTCTAGTTATTTGTCATCTTGGATTTTATTTGAAATACCACTTTATCATTTTTTCTGTAAAAATGTCTTTAAAAATTACATTTAAATGTTAGTTGGTAACAGGAAAAGATTCTTTCTACTGAGACAATACCACACAAAAATGGATGCAAACTAAAGCATTCAAATCTCTTTTTTGAATAAGCAGAGCAAGTCGTTCTCCCACTTACTTCCAGAAGACTAAACCTGAGCAAGTTGTTAATGGAGTAAAAGATTTTACGCTTCCTGCTATGCAAAAATACCTGTCTTTTAAATCTTGAAGGCTAAATTTGTAGTTCTATTATACCTTAAAAAGTCTACATTTGAGATGTCATATTATTCTTTTAGTTATTTCTAATGAGGAGGAACAGGAAAGGAGGGAAAAGAGTAGGGAAAGAAAATTAAGATGAGTCAGCACTGGGGTGCCTTGCAACCTAAACCATTCTATCTATCTGTGATTGACCAGTATCAGATAATCTGCACATGGTGTGAAACAATGCGTGGGCATTTTAAAACCTTACAGTGGTGGACATTTATTTTATATTCTCATTAAAATAATAATTGTTTTATAACCCTTATGCATTTTAATATCATATTAATTCTCACTGCTAATATACCAAGAACTGAAATTGTGTCAACCCATAGGTACGTGTGAACATAATGCATATATGAAAGGAGTCATGACTGAATTAAGTAGGCTTTTAACAATTTATGAAGTAATGGCCAAATACTTGCAAGGCTGATCACTGGGAATCCACCAAACATAAGTGGCAGAGAAAATGGAAAATAACATAGTAAAAGTGCATGTAATAAAACCAACAATACCAAAGAGCTTTGGATGAGACACAAAGCCTTTGGATGGCACAAGATAACTCCATTATTAGCTGAATATAAGGTGGCCTGAGGAACCTGAGAAGAGTGCTCACTGTAGGAGAGCCATAGGGGTTGAAAAACATATGCAGAAGGGCCAAGCTAAAACCATGCATGAATTAATTAGTTCCCAAGAGAAGTATCACATTTAATACAGGACAAGTTAACTGGTTGTTACCAGAAACTGGGACAACTATTACATCTATCTGGACAATGCTGGTTTATCTTAAAGGTATCAGCACAACCTCTTAGGCTGACCCACTTATTTCTATTTCAGGTCAGATATTAGGCTTGGCTTAATTCCAGCTCTGCATTCTTACCCTGCTGATCTCTGGGTCCATAAGAGTCTAAGAAAATATTTTTTCCATCAGCCATATACCATGGTGTCAAAGTGCTAGTCTCAAATTTTGTAAATATTTATACAAAATAATTGTTAACCAGAATTTGTGGAAAAGTACTTGTTTTAATAATTTCAAAATGTGTTGACTTACTGCCATACTGCCATCAAGCTAACAAAGCAGCACTGCATAAAAAACTTGGTTGTGGAAAAAAAACCCAACATTTGTTTAAATGGCTGAAATTCATAATTTTACTATTTTGAACTAAAAATTAAATGAATGCAATAATTCACTGAAAATACACAAGCATTTCCAGCCTCAAGCTCCCTATAAATATATATTCTGATAATAGTTCAGAAAATATTTTACCTTTTGTAATTTTACTTGCACAACAATTCTTCTACAAGTTTCAGTCATGAATTCTAAATACTGTTGAAGTTATTTCTTTTTTATTTGAACAAGTATTTATAAAGCCACATTTCCTAGTTATTTCACACACTAAAATATTGAATGAAAATACATTTGAAAATTAATGGTATATTTACACAGTAACTTATTTTTAAGCAGTGTTTCTTAAATGCTCTATTTTCTATATCTAAAACATGTCAATGTCTTACTAAAGAGCCTGATTTCTCTGCTTAGTATTAGTAGTAAAGACTCATTTGTAAGAAAGAAGCAAATAAAATACACACAGAAATTGAAAATAAAAGGAAAAAAGTATCAAGTTCAATAAGTTGATTTAGCACAGGACTCACTAAATACTCTGAAACTACAACGAAAGTTGACAGCTCTTCTGTTTATTCATTTTGATTTCACTGTCTGATACACCACCTGTTGTTTGCTTGGCAAACATTGCTGCTTTAGTTATTTGCTGCTTTAGAATGTTATGCCAGAAAAAAAGGCATTGGGAACAGGCTAAATGAAAAACACTTCTAAATTTATTTTTCTACTACAAAATGCTTTAAAAAATAAATTTGAACAAGAAGAGGAAATCAGATAACTTTTTTTGCTTTTGTTTCAATTTTTTTTTCAAAGAATTATTTTTAACATTCAATAACATATTGATAACAAAGATAGCATACTGATTACACTTCAGTACTAATTGCACACTTTAATTCTATCTATATAAACCAAGGATTTGTTATTATGGTGTTTCTATCAGGTTCATTTAGTCTTAAATATGTCCAAATTGTATATATAAATCTATGGAAATAAAGGAATATCTGCATGTGACTAAACCTGTACCTATCCAGAAACTATATTTTAAAATTTCTCCTTGACTACATTAAAAATACTGGTCAGATTTAAAAACAAACAAACAAATAACCACCATGAAAAAAACAAACCAAAACACCACCAAAAAAACCCACTTTCTTCTTTATTGACCATAAAACATGGTGTACATGCTTAATGGTTCCTAAATACAAATAATGGTATTTACTGAAATATAGGGTATGATATGGCAGGCTGACTTTACAAATGACTCTACAGCTCCGATTTTTATGCTGTTCTGATTTTCATGTTGTACTAAAATTAAAGCAATAGTTTTAGTACTACTGCTTAACTCCTTTTACCTTTTTTGTTTTTTTAAACTGCAATCACAATTTGGTTTAGAAGATCTGTCTAGAACTTCTGTCTAGTCATGAAAAATAATTTGGCTTTGTTTTAATGTCTTTAAAGGTCAGAGTGAGACCGAGATTTTAACAGGCCAGTGTAAAACTTATTGCCCAAAAAATAAAACCAAAGAAAAACCAAACAAAATCAAAGAAAAAAGCCAACAAACAAAACCAAACAAAACTAAACCAACCACAAACAAAAAAAACAGAACACCTGAGATCCATGATATAGCCAAATTATGTTAGCATTCAGATACTCTGATTCGTAGACTCCATAACAACTGTATAGTCCCACAAAGCTCACCAGTCTTTTTTCCCTTCCTTTAGTTTGCAAGTAGAAGGATGGATTATTTTTTTATTTTTTATTTTTTTTTCCAACAAAGCTGCAAAGCCTATAATGTCTGCTGCTTACACTACAATAAGTAGATTCTGAAGGCTTAATCCAAGCATTGATTACTAGATCAGAGTAGCCTAGCAGGAAAGCAATCTTAAAAATAAAATCTTGGTATCAAAGGAGAAGAGAAACACTAAAAAGGATGAGAAAGACTTTTCAGAGAGTGCAACAGGCTTGGAAAAGTTAGGAAAGGAAATAAAATTACTCACATGAAATTTTAAAAGAAAAAAAAACAGGATTTATTTTTTAAATTAAATATGTTAAGATCTCAGTGACACAAAAACCCCAGATTTCAAGGAAAAAAAGGCATTAGCTGAAAATATATTTTATTTCTTAAAAAAACTTTTTTCTTTAACATTCAGCTGAAGATCTTTGAGCAGCCTATCTTTGTTTTCTCAAAAGACTTTAATTTCAAGCTGCCACTTAGCATACTAGGAAAAACTTTGCTACAAGATCATAGACCAGCCTCTGTATGATATGCCTTGTGCCAGCAAGGCCCTTGGTAGTAGGAACGGGCATCCAGATTGAAAGACAAGTCTGTACATCTCAAGTTTTCTCAAGATTAACCAGTGATTAGACTAAGTGTAACTTCTCTGAACTGTGAAATTAATCTTCTGCCTAGCAAAAGCCTGCCATAGTACTAGACTTTTCAACTGAGAACAGTTAAAAAATATAGAGAAACTTATACAGAATGTGCATAAAATACATATTCTTGATTATTTCTTTAAAATAACATGAATTAATTTATATAGAAAACCACTAAGAAGTAATTACTTATGTCAGTGAGTAATTACTATAAGCACCTACAATTAAGACAATTCAGATCAGATGCTCAGAGATACAGGAAGTGCTCTTCCTGGTGGGAAACAACAAACAAATAAAAAAATCTCTCAGAATTCTGGAACTTGAGAGAGGTAAACAAATAATTGTTAATCATGA